AAGGGGCTGGAACGCCCAGGATGGTGCTTGCTTGGCATTGCCCTCTCCTCTTAGAGACCTGAGGGTGCTGTGTCCAACCTGTGCCCATCCTGCTGTGCCTCCTGCAGCGCTGGGTGCATCGTCCCCTCTCTGTGAGCTTCGATCCGGCCCAGTCTCCTCCTGGTCGCTGTCATTATTTACACGTCACGGCGTTTTACTTCTGCTTGGGAGTAATGAAAGAGGTTTCTTTCCCCTGGAATTTAATTTCACGCCTGAGACTTAGTGATTAATTTTCTCCTTTCCCAGCTGCCTGATGGGCCCTTTTGCTTGTAAATTTTGAAATGTGCCACAGAATTTGTGTATTTTGCACCAATTAGGTGTCACCTTGAGTAATTCCTCCGGTGCTGAGTTTATTCCTCCCATCAGCTAGTGAGATGTGTTTTCCCTCCCACCTCCCCACGAGCCTCTTGTCCCGGTTGCTGAAGTCTGTGCTGGCCAGTTAGGGCACCCCATGCCCAGTGAGGATGTGGCTGGTATCCTGCACTGGTGCTGGGCAGAGCCTGCAGCTCGAGGGGATGAGGAGAGACAGTGTCTCCCGGATGATGCCGAGGGGACAGTGCGCAGTGTCACCGTGCCAGGGGGTCTCTGGGTGCCCTGGTGGGGAGACACCTCGCCTCCTTCTCTTCGCTGGGTGAGCCCAATTCCTCTCCAAACCCAGACCCGGCAGAGTCCATCCCCACGATGCTAGACAGCTTCCAGTCGCGGGAGGTGAAGGCAGGGAGGCTGGTGGAGCTGCCCTGCATCGCCTCGGGCTACCCCAACCCGGCCGTGCGGTGGATCAAGGACGGGCGCCCACTCCCCACCGACAGCCGCTGGACCAAGCGCATCACGGGCCTGACCATCAGCGACCTGCGCGTGGAGGACAGCGGGACCTACATCTGCGAGGTGACCAACACCTTCGGGTCCGCCGAGGTCACAGGGACCCTCACGGTCATAGGTGAGAGCTGGGGGGGAGGAGTGGGACGTGGTCGTGGTGGGGACTTGTTCCTGCTGCCTTGTGAAGCGTAGAGCCTCAGAGGTTTTATACAGCCGTGTAAACCGCAAACCTTGCGTTTCCGTGCGGGGTGTTGCGCGCTGGAAGCCACTGTCTTGCAAGTGTCAGACGTGTTGGGTGCCTCTGTGCTTTGCTTTGTTGATTTACATAGACTTTATGTTGATTTACATAAAATAAGCTCCAGCCAAACAGTAAATACCATCTGGGCAGGCCAAGCATTTATCACGTGCTGTTTTCCTGGGGGTTCCTGCTGTCACTGGGATCCTGGCTGTACCAGAGCCACTGTGCCTGCCTTACCTGGAGCAGCACTGGGGAGCACAGCACCAGCTGGGCACTGACAGCCTGCTGGGAACCATCCCCCCTGGCCTGTCCCCAGCTCAGCACTGTCCCCATCACAACAACCCCATCGCCTTCCAGCCATCCTGCCACCTCCCCACATTACCCCTGTTGGGAGCCTGAGGCTGATGTTAAAAGCAGGGGCTGTCAGCAGCGAGGATGGTGGCAGGGCCACCTGCCTTATTGTGCAGTGACATTTTACTCATAGCCAGGCTGGTGCTTCCAGGGCAGGAGAAACAGAGAGAGCACAGTAGGGATGAGCTGCCTCCTGCATCACTGCCCAGCACCACCGACCCCTCTCTGCTCTCACCTCTCTCACAGACCCTCTGCGTGTGACCCTCACACCAAAGAAGCTCAAAACAGGCATCGGCAGCACCGTCATCCTCTCTTGTGCTCTCAGCGGGTCCCCCGAGTACGTCATCCGCTGGTACCGCAACACGGACCTCGTGGCGGTGGATGACTACATCTCCATCCGGGGCATCAGCAACGAGACCCTGCTCATCACAGCTGCACAGAAGAGCCACTCTGGAGCCTACCAGTGCTTCGCCACCCGCAAGTCCCAGACAGCACAGGACTTCTCCATCATCACGCTGGAGGGTGAGCTTGTGGGCGAGGCTTTTTCCTCTGCCCCTCTCCGAGGGCACTCCGGGATGCTTTGTGCATGGCTGGGGGGCAGTGAGACCTGCTGGGGTGGGAGTCCTGGGGCCAGGCTGTTCCCAGCCCACCTTCTGGGCTGTGTGCTGTCTGCAAGCAGCTCAGGGACACGTCACATCCAGGATGGGGAAGGATTGAAATAGATGTTGACTTGCCACCCCCAGCGCTAGGCCAAGGCACCTCCATTCACCAGGCAACCCTCTCTGGTCACTGGGTGTTTAGACAGGGGAGCTCAGGGACACGTCACATCCAGGATGGGGAAGGATTGAAATAGATGTTGACTTGCCACCCCCAGCGCTAGGCCAAGGCACCTCCATTCACCAGGCAACCCTCTCTGGTCACTGGGTGTTTGGACAAGGGATGGGCTGTGCCAAGGGAGCTGTCCCCCCAAGCCTGTGTCTGTAGGAACCATCATGCCCCCTGCCCCTCCCAGTGTCTGCCTGCCGTGTGATGACGGTGTGGCCCTGCACGTGTCACTGACTGAGCCCCTCTCCCAACTGAGCCAGAGCTCCCAGCCCAGGCAGGAGC